ATGGCATTTGAAATCTACAACAACTGTATAAGATGCACCCAGTTTTTAGACACCAAATTTTTCAAAAAAAGGTGCATCTTATACATGGGGAAATATGGTATGTAATGTCACAGTTGTTGTTTAAAAAAAAGTACAAAGCAAAATTTCAATCTTTCTTATATCAACCATGTAGAAAAAAAAAAACCCTGGAAAAAATGATTTAATAAATTGCCTTTTCAAAATTGTATTACTGGTGATATTTTCTCCACTTTACATTTTTTTTCTATAGTTTCCACTTTTACTATAATGAGCATATATTGTTTTGATAATCAGAAGGATAAATAAAGTTAAAAGCTTGAGACAAATTGAGTTAAAGATGGTGACTCAAGGCCACACAGTCCTATAGGTTGCAGCCCTAGCCAAAATAAAAGAGGAGAAGGTTTTTATGAAAGCTTGCACAGATGAGATCTCTATTTACCTAGCCACATCCAAATTCAGCTTTATAAATACATTTATCCTCAGAATATGAAAAAGAAAACAAAGATCATGATAAAGAATACAACAGTTTCAGTTAGGACAAATGTCATCATGACCAAAATTTCTTCAGTATAAAGCCTAATATGCTTCCCAAATGATTACCCCCAAAAAAAGCTACCTTCAAGGGAACATCCTGCAGAAATATTGCCTTTCTGGGACCTTGTCACAGTCACCTTGGTGTGCACACTAAGAAACACCTTACACTTAATTGCCTGCTTTTACTACGCAAATTAGAACAGATAGCTGAGGTCTTTAATTCCACCTAGCCCATATGCTTTTAAACCCTGCCTCACACCAGACAAGAACTGCCATCACTGACCTCCACAAGATAAAAACATCAAAATGCGTGCACTTAAGTACTCCAAAGGAAGCCAGCACTGAAAATCGAGGACTCAAGAATTCAGAAAAACAGAAAGCACATGAGATTTTTCTTATGACTGCCAAACAACTGAGAGGGGAGATTCCTCTTTAAATTTTTGTCTATGTCAAGGATGATTTCATTTAAAGAAAATTCCCCCATCGTATGCCCCAGAATGGATCATAATGGAATTTTTTAAAAATAATGTTTAATCATTTTCATAAATATCTCATAGTGACAAGATAATTCAGAGCTATGTTGCTATTGTAAACATGTCCCAAGGTCTATCTCTCAATATCCAAACTGTCGTCTCAATAGTAGCAACACCTAATACGCCTTTATCCCTAGGACTGTCAGTAAGTTTCTTGAGTTTGGGAAATTCTTAACAAAAATTCTAGGAAACAGCAGTTTCAAGGAAGCATATGAAGTTAGAAGATAAGTTTTACTTTGTAGGTAATTATAGGAAAAAGGCTTTTCCTATAAGCACTCCATGCTTTTCCTTTCAATTTATATTATTTCCTTTATTATTTACTGATGCCAGAAATGATTATGCAAGACAGGAATAACCTTTTTCTGCTTAAGATTCTTATAAAGACATTCAGTTTTCATAAAGCCCTGTGTTTCACTTTAATCTGACTGTACAAATGCTGCGGGATTCCTTCTGAAGGAGTTAAATATAATTTATAACCGCAAGTAAATAGGAAATGTGTGTCTCCACTGTATCAAGAAAAAGCCAGTTACTTGGGTTTCCATGTCTGTGGCTTTATTTTGTTCTTGAGACTGAGCTTGATTTTACATTATGCTCAAACAGTTTTCAAAAGTTTCAGTGAGTCATTCAAAAAACATCTACTTACGTTATTCCCCAACTCCTAACATTGGTAAAATCATTCAGAAACTGGATAGTTGGATTTACATTTATTATTTAATTTTAAGCACCCCGGCTTCCTTTAATAGGCTCATTTTAGAAATAACAGGTTAATGGCAGAGAGTGAGATGAAGCGTTTCTTCATTTTATATGCCTAGCATTGGCCAACTATGACCCACAGGTCAAACCCCACTTGCCACCTGTTTTTGTAAATAAAGTTCTGTTGGAACAGAGCCACACCCACCTATGTCTATGGCTGTTTTCTAGCAATAAGGCAGAGTTGAGGAGTTGTGACAGAGATCATTTGGCTCACAAAGACTAAAATATTTACTATCTGGCTCTTTTCAAAACAAAAACAAAAACAAACAAAACAAAAACAAACAAACAAAAAAACTGCCTACCTCTGATATGTGCAATGCTCTCTGTCCTCAGAAAATGCCTTAAACATTCTGTGATGAATGACATTTTCTTTTTTAACCAAGCTGCTCATTACAAAAAATATGAGTATATAATTTTACCCAGTTTGTCACACCTTCATTATTATTAAACACATTATTACATTAAAGGATCTATACTACCTGATATAATTCTTAAAACCTTACTTACATGACTTCTTGTAGGCTGGCTATATGCTAACATTGAGCTCTTTGCATCCTGTGACATCACCAGCATGGCACATGACGGGACATTGCTTCAAAGAGCCAGATGGCCATGTACAGAAATGGATTCTGTTGGAATCAAAGGGAGGGGTAAAAAGATTTAAAATTATGTATTGAATGATCTTCCCTTCCTCAGATTTATGGTTCCTTCCCCACCTGATCATGCTAGAAAAGACAGGAAGACTCATGTGGAAACAGCTTCAGAAGTCAATAGGGGTTTGTTTGTTTGTTTTTTATTTTTTATTAATCATTCCTAATATCTTCAGACCTCCCAATAATTTAACTCAAATCCATTTGGACTATAGCGACTTCATTTTGGGAGACAAATAATCACACATCATTTAAAATAAACTATAACATTTCATGTAGTTCTCTAGTAAAATGTTTTTCATTTTCCCACAAAACAGCACAAAGCCACCAACGGGGGAAAAACTGAAAACAACTAACTCATGGCGTTAGTGTTTTAATAGAAGAATAAAGAAAGCCCCATGTAAGTGGAGTCAAGGGATTTGTAATAGATATGTATGATATTGGGGGGAAATGGGGCGGCGGATTGGGGGAGGGGG